GGTGCCGATATTCGAAAAGCGGTAAGCTGACTCGGCTTTATTTGTCTCCGCGAAGGTCTAAATCTACCGATAGCTAACAATGAATTTTTGATATCGATTGATCAGACCTTTGACGTCCCTTGTTAGTTCTAGTGAATTCAATGTACCTTTGAATGAAAAAGAGGCAGTGTCTGGTTTATATTCTAGCTTTAGATGGAAATGATTAAACAAATAAGATACCATGTTAACGTAAAAGAATAGCTAATTGATAATTTAGTCGACCTTAGTACCGTCAAAATTGAAGGTCAAAGAGTTTGAAAGCTGTTATCTAATACAAATATTTTCAACGAGTTATGCTAATAAACTTTATTATTAATTCGAGATATTGGTTCACTTGATCACCACATTCAAAACTCTGATGGGTGATTTGAAAAATTAAAACTTTAAATTGACTTCATTTTCATGGCTTCTGAAAAGGGAAAATAAATGGAAAGATTCTACTAACTCTAATTCAACTGAATTTGTTATTCATATCATTATTGATCAGCATGAAAGACTCAATTCAACTAAAGGTGTTTCCGATGAAAAATTTATTGAGATAGAATCCGATTCAATGTCAATAAATTCTGACGTTTTGTGACGTCACAATGGATTTTTCCGGTGAAATGTTAATTGGATTTACTTCCGGTGACTTCTTTTGACCTGTGAATGTTTTTTTCAGCCGTTAGATCATTTTTAGGACAAATTAAGTCCAAAAATGTCGATGTAAATTGATCTTAATCGACTTTTTTGGATCTAGATAACTCGATCCATTTTTCATCGGAAACACCCTAAATCCACGAAAAAATAAAAAATCTCTCTTCAGAATTCAAATCTCTGATGAATTAATGAAAAAAGCGACTGGGAAAAATTGCAGAATCCACATTCCATAATATTGAGTGAAGGGAAAACATTTTTGTTGCCTAGATTGATGGTTCATTGAAAATTTTTTTAATGTTGCTGAGCTAATCTGTGAGTGCATGAATTTTGCACCGAATTGTGATATGACTCATGGCTTTTTACAAAAGAAGTTGTCAATCAAATCACTACTAATTTGCCTCCAGTAATTGCGTCTAATGAATGATAAATTCAGTTATCTTTTACTGATGAATTGATGTACAGAAAATTATACGTAAAGCAGATAAGTTAAACAAGATCAATTAACTAACTCTAGTTAATCACAAGCTTTCTCTGAAAAAAATAAAGTTGAACAAAACTAACTAACAGACTGGACTTAAAGATTGATTAGTACCAATAATACTAGATTGGCTCACGCTTAACGGGAAACGAGTTAGTAAAGGTTACCTTAGCAATAGATTGCTATCGATAATTGATGAATTATAATAATTTGGTTTCGGTAACTCTACCATTCAACAGTATGGCAAAAAATACATGGAAAGTGAAATAACTAATCGTTGCTCGTTCTTCTTGAAAGAATAGACGGACTTTGGTGAACTCCACGTACTCGTCCTGCCGTACTGCATTTCTGATGGATTTCCAGCTAAGCTGGTAAGATCGACTGGATATGCGTAGATAAAGACCTAGGTAGCAAAGAATGGATTGTGCCTTAAACTGTTGTCCCAGCTGTCTAACAAACAGTTAACCATGAATAGAAATTACGAGTTTTTACCTTTCTCCGGCTTATATTTATTCGAAAATGAATTCGACATTAAAAATCTGTTTTCACCCAGAACTTGAAAAAATTCATTTTTTTGCACGATTTGTAATAGCAATAAATATCGGTATTTTTCTTAGTTAAAAGCTAAACAATCAAAATGAAAAAGTACAACTAAAAATTGAGTATTTAACATAATTATACTGGCAAAAGAATGACAAAATTGTCAAAACCGTGTTCAAAAATGCTTTAAACAGCCTATAGCCATCATTGGTTCGATTTATTATATATTTCACCGATTTGAAAATAATAAAAAGTTTGAATGAATAAAAAAAATATCCTCACTTGCGTCAATTGATCTTCAAGGTTAGTCAAAGAAAACAATGAAACACAAAAAATATAATTTTTTCATGCCATCCTTGCCTGATGAAACTTTCAACACAATTTAACTAACGATTATCGTAAGCATCAAATTAAGTCACAGACCTTATGGTTGACATTTCTGCACAAATGATCAACAAATTGTAATACATCCAATAGGCAGTGTGGTGACGACTTTAGTCTGTCAATGTTTCATCAACACATTGCTGTTATCAATTTTTATTTTTGATGATTGAATGAAAATTGTTTTGTTCAAGATGTATTACAATGAACATTTCATCGCCATTCATGCATGTTTATTGTTTTATTAAAATGATTCGAGTTATAAAAGTTATTTTTGACTTTTTGTAAAATGATTGGAAAGATTGACATTTTTGTATTTTTTGTAATTTTTGTAGCATTTGTATCTACTTCTTACTCGATATCTAGTATTTAAAAGCTCGAACAAAATCATGATTCTAATCATAATACCAAGTTATATTGGTAGATACAAGTTACAAAAAAGTTAATCATGATCGGACTTATTTGTTTGATTATTGTTAATTCAATTTTCCAATGTTCGGGAAAAATTATTTCCTTGAATTCTAGTGATTGGAATCTAAAAGATGATTCTGGACAATGTAAGTAATGAAACATTAAATTTTACCGCTAATCAGCTCTGGTTAACTCTTTTAACGGTCTTTTTTAGATGTAATCGATGGCGCTACTGTTCCTGGTGGATTGTATACAGAGCTTGTTGATCATGGAATCATTGGTGATCCAAACTATGGTTATGATGATTACAACCAACGTGTTTGGTCCAAGAAATTGTGGACATGGACAAGAAATTTCGATGGTAAGTACAATGAAACGGTTAGCTTTTTCAATGAATTACCTTTCGTTACTTTTCCTCTATCTTTACTTATAGTCAGCAGTGATGATCTTAAATCTTCCAATGAAATTTACCTCGTTGCTCATGGTATTGACACTGTTTCAAAGGTCTACATCAATGATCAAGTTGTTGGGGACACCAACAATATGTTCAGACGATATCGATTCAAGGTTAATGATAAACTAAAGGCTGGCTCAAACAGTATCAAGATTGAGGTATACAATCCCTACGCTTATGCTCAAGAGCAATACAATAAATTCAAGGGTCAATATGGTTACGATATGGTTCCTCAATGTTTCCCTGATGGTTCAGATTATGGTGAATGTCATGCTAGCTTTATCCGAAAGATGATGTGGGGATGGGGACCTGCTTTCCGTACCAGTGGTATTTACTTGCCTGTTGAAATTGAGATTATCGAATCCACAAATAAATTGGAAAACTTCTGGACTACAATTACATCATTAGATGAAAATAAATGGTCTGTTGACTTGAGTTTAGCTTTATCTCGACCAGAGTCTGGTAAACAAGTCAATGTTGAAGTTACCCTTTCAACTAATGATCCCAACTACGAAAAGGAGTTGACTATTTACAGTGGATCCATCAATACTGATTCATCTACCGATACTTATCGTATTTCTAGCATTCCTGTTGAAAAATCTCGTGTTGGTAAATGGTGGCCAAATGGAGCTACATATGTGCAAAACAATCAAATTGTAGCTCGACCTCGTACCTTGTACAATGTTAAAGTTACTCTTAAGCCATCAGATGGATCTAAGCAACAATCAATGGTAAAAAGAACTGGATTCAGGGAAATTAAATTGATCCAAGAGATTCCAAAGGTAGATGGAAAAGATTACCCTGGACTTTCATTCCGATTCGAAGTAAATGGAGAACCTTTCTATATCAAGGGATCTAACTTCTACCCAACATCAGTCCACACTGAGAATGAAAACCGAGACAAGGATTACGTTAAGAAGACTTTACAAGCCGCTGTT